GGATGTAAACCAGTGGATCAGATCCATACTGGGCAGTGAAGTAAGCCTTGACCTGAGCTCACCTCCGTTAGTTTCCTCTTGTCCTCATCACAGCCCATCTTCACCTCTGCATGCTTGGCTTGCAGCTGTGGCCACAAAAACAGATACAGTCAAAGCTCTGACACAGTTGAGGACGGCACATTCATTAAACCAGAGTGACCTACACACCTCCCCCAGCTCTTTAGTCTTCTGCTGGATCTGTTTGTTGAGTGAGGCGACCGCCCTGTGGTGCTGCTGCAGTGGGCCATAATGCTCATGCTCCTCTGAGGACAGCTCTAACTGCTGCAGGGACACAAGCAGGACACAACAGTCAGCAAAGCAATGCTCTTAGAAAGATGAAGATGTTTACCATTAGGTGACATTCTGGTTTGGATTCGTGCCAACTGGTGATTTTTTTCCACTGTGTTTGATTAAGAAGAAAGTCTGAATGAACACTTTAAAAAGCTGCCAACACACAGCAGCATCTTAGCTGGTGTTTAGGACAGAACTGTACTAGAAGATCACCCTCTCTTTGACTAACACAGCAACTGCAGCCTAAACTTGGACCAGACAGTGTAGAGCTGCTTACCTTCTCAGCGTACTCAGAAGCAAACTGTTTGATCTCTTCAGACTGCAGCCCGACGAGCTGACCCACTGCACTCGCTGTCAGCTTCCCCTGAAAACACAGGCTCAGTCACTACCATAGTGCAGCGGTGAGGAAAGGCAACAGGAGTCAAGGAAACACCCAACTTTGACTAACATGCAATCAACAAGATGATTCAGTCACAGCTGAATATCCTTTACATATATTTATATGTTTGGGTTGTCCGGATGCAGAAATGTTCTGCTTCTCTGTGCCGTGTGTTTTATTTACATACCTCCTCTGTTGCCATGGCAGCCATGTTGGTCATCAACGTTTTAATTCGCATCTAGGAAAAAAATAAATGTGATTTATTTGTTGAACACAATATGGTCTTATTTTATTATTCCAGGCTTTTTAACAGACCGATGACACAGATCACAACAAGCTGAGAGCATCCACACGCTGGCTTTGACTCAGTTTTTCCTTTTCATTAGTGAGCTATAGATTTTTGTTGTACTTCTAAAATGGCAA